CGAAACGTGTAAGATGTTGGCATTTTCTGTGCGAGTGTAAGTTTTAATTTTTCTGGAGGACTTGCTGAGGATTCAAAACCATTCTGTGATATACGCACGCACATATGTATGCATTTATGTGCGTGTGTCCACATGTGTATGAATTTGTGTATATATGTAAATATATATATGTATATACATACACATATATATACGCACGCACACAACAACACACACACCACACACACACACACACACACACACACACACACACACACACACACACACACACACATACACACACACACACACGTATACATAAACACGCGTACACACACACACAATTAGATAGATAGATAGATATAATATATATGTATATATGTATATATATTATTTATCTATCTATCTATCTATCTATATACATATATATACACACATGCATGTGTATGTATGTATATATATTCCTACACATGAATACATGTGTATATATATATACATATATATATATATATACATATATATATATATATATATATAATATATATATATATATATAGATATATTATATATGTATATATATATTTTATATATATATATTATATATATATATATGTATATATATATATTTTATATATATATTATATATATATATACATATAATATAATATATATATAATATATATATAATATATACATAAACACACACACATTTCACCTTTTAAAACCGGCAAAAATAAAAAGGAAACAGCTACGAAACGTTCCCATTCATTTTCATTTCTTGTTAAGGCTGTTTCCTCTCTCTCTCTCTCTCTCTCTCTCTCTGTCTCTCTCTCTTCTCTCTCTCTCTCTGTCTCTTTCTCTGTCTCTCTCTGTCTCTCTCTCTCTCTCTGTCTCTTTCTCTGTCTCTCTGTCTCTCTGTCTCTCTCTCTTCTCTCTCTTCTCTCTCTCTCTCTCTCTCTCTCTTCTCTCTCTCTCTCTCTCTCTCTCTCTCTCTCTCTCTTCTCTCTCTCCTCGGCTCGCCCCCTCCCCCTCTGTGTGTTTGTGTGTGCGAGTATTACCATTTACAGTATACGAGTTACTACAAATATTATTTTTCATCTTGTATAAAACCCACAAGGACCATATAAAGGTCTGGAAATCAACACATGGATGATGATGTATTTCAATATTAATACTAAGCTAATCATCAGAAAGAATTGACGTCATCTGGCTAGAATTTTCTCTTTATTTATGGGGGAATATCCATCTATACGAAGCTTCAATGTACCTATATTTTGGAATTACAGATTTCGAGGTTAAAACGTCTAATTCAATCCGAATTTGAATTAAATTTGATAGGTGATTCCGGTACATGAAGCATCAAAGTACTTTATGGGTCTCAGTACATTATTGATAGTTACTGTTGATTTCTTTGCCTATTTACATATTTACAGGTATGCTAAACATCTCTCTTGTTGATCAAAACTTCAAAACTTGAAAAAAAAAAAATCTTACTTGGTCATGTCGAACCAGGTTCCGGTGTAAAAGCTTCACTACTACTGTTCTAGCATGAGAAAAATGGATATAAACATAGTGTTGGGTTTCCTTTTGCAGCCAAAGGGTTGAGGAAATTAGACTAGGCCTATGGACATCATAAGAACATCGTAGAAATATATATATATATATATATATTATATTATATAATATATATATTATTATATAATATATATATATATATTATATATATAATCATGAAAACACAACTGAGCCATTAGCAGAAATTATTTATGATATCAATAGTGCTAACTATGGAGAGAATAAAAGTTATCCCACATATAAAGATTATAAAGACAAATGTATGTTATTTCATGAGTCATATATGGGATATGTTTTAAATCCTTGCATACCATGGGTAATTAAGGTCTATGTGGCATTTGGACAGACACTAATTGATTAGCGTTTGAATTATCATTCACTGATTGGTCGGCTCTTGGCATGTTGCAGCCAGTGATTGGTGGAAGGTTTTAGGTACTTATGACCGTCAGCTAATACATTCTTAAATATTTGAGCATGGATTGTGATTTTCCATTCGCTGAAAATAAAACAAGGACTTTCTTTTCAAATTAGTTTGAAAGTCTTGGCACATGTACTCTTAATTATTCATCACTGGATTTTAAATAAAGTTGCTTTTGGTTTGCACTTTGCATTTGTTCTCACTTCCTAATATTCGGTTTATACCTTTACGAAGGCAACAAGCGCATGGCCAATGGTCTTCAGAGAATTGTAATGGAATACATCATTCGGTCAGCTTTTAGGAATGGTTCCCAAGCGCGTCTAACCCTTGAAGTCCTCGCAGTACCTAGGGATGCAGAATTACTTTCGTTTCTGTGCGACACGAGCGCCGTACACACCAAAGAAGCTGTTTGTTTTGCATGTTCTATGTATCAATATTTACAATGTTTTTTTTTTTTTTTTTTTTTTTTTTGTATATATTTGAATTTCTTTCTGCTGCTGAGTTTTATGTTTGCTGAACCTAATTATTTTGTTTCTGACAACAATAATTGGTGGGGCAAGCGAAGATATTTTCTGCAAAGCTAGCAGAGTTTAAAAGACTATGGTACCGTCGAGATGACCATATGTACTTAAGAAAATAAAAAAGTCCGATACCTACTGATTTAGAATAATTATGCAGTAAGAAAGCGAGGAAAAGTAAAACTGATAAAATATCTTTTTCTTTCGTGGTTTGAATGACATACATGGCCGAAAACATCAGTCACTATTTTATAAAAACCAAAGACAACGGCTGAATAGAAGGCTGAAGACATCAGTCACTATCTTATAAGAACCGAAGACAAAGGAAACAGTTTTCCATTAGTGTCATGAAAAAGTAATGTTCATGGGAAATCAATAATTCAGTTGTTCAGGTACCCTTTTTCTAAAAAATTAGGTATATTAGTAGAGCTTGGTACTGTTTTGACTTGTATCACTGTTTATCTATCATAAGTCATGCTTTCCAAAAGCTTACTCTTATAACAGAGTACTATAAGCAATGTCTCTTTACGAGTATTGCATCTAAGTCCTGTCTTATGGATATTATATTTGTATCCATATATTATCGAACTTCTTGAACTATGAATGTCCAGAACTTTTAACAGTATTTTCCAAATCTTAGAGAAGTCCATGACTACTGAAACCATGGCTATGAAGTTACACGATTATATTTCATGATTAAAGTCTACTTGAGTTTAGAATTTTTTGAATTTTTGTTTTTTGTTTTACATCTGAAGTATATGAAGAGATGCTGCAAATATCTGCAGTAGGGAAAATAATACAAAAATAATATTTTGGTTACATAAATTCAATATAAATGGTGTACATATACCTATACACATAATAAACTATAAAACATATGAAAACTATATGATAACACTATGTAACAGTACATCAACGCTAAATTTGATCTATATACAATCAACATCTAACCTTATTCTATTTACCACAGTCGCGGGGTTGTGGTGGGTTGTGACACAAGCAGCTTGTATATTTTAAGTGGATGCCAATGTCCTACGAATATTTTCACAGTAATGCCATACAATTTGCAACGTACTGTGCTATATTTCATTCCTCATGTTTTCCTAAATGTTTTGGTTATTTTTAGCACCATAATCTCGACATCGTCACGTCAAACGAGAATGGCTTTGGCTTCGACTTCCTATTTTTTTCTTTATTCGTTCGTCCCTTGTTCATTTTAACCGCGGTGCCTGTCTTCTATTTCTCTATATATTTTAAACACCTCCGGTAATTTACTCTTTAACTAGTAAATATCTTGCCAGTATGACTCTTCGATGTGCATAAAAATTTTACGTATCAGGAATTCTCAAGCATATACTTGGCCTTAATAAGGAGTCAGGATGCTACTTAAGTCTAAATGCACTGGTTTATATTGAGAGAGAGAGAGAGAGAGAGAGAGAGAGAGAGAGAGAGAGAGAGAGAGAGAGAGAGAGAGAGAGGAGAGAGAGAGAGGAGAGAGAGGAGAGAGAGAGAGAGAGAGAGAAGAGAGAGATGAGAATATGGTGTATCCTCCTAACCTCCGTGACACAACTACGACAGTACTAATCCACAGTCACTCACAACAGCGTCCTTCACATCCGGCAGCCTCGCAGCGCTCCTGACGAGTTCAAGGCCCTCTACCACTCTCCCCAGCGGACTCTCCTCGTACAGAATGGGACAGTCGTTGTTGTAGATGACGAAATGCGAAGGATTCCGGTGCTCGTGGCTGTAGCAGAAGCCGGCGACGAGGCCAGCGGTGACGCTCTGTGACGAGAGCTCCCCCATCGTCAGGCCAGGGAGAGCCGCCCCTCCACTGCCGTCGTTGTTCTGGTAGTCTCCCCCCACACCCTCTCCCCGGACTGGCCCCGGGCCTCCGTCTCCAGCAGGCGGGTGTTGGCGTACGAAGGGCCGCGTTCTCCCGTGCACAAGTAGAAGAACTGGAGACACCGGCACGTAGCGTTCAGGAGGCGTATGTGACCCGTCCTTGTACTTTACCCGCCCAGGAAAGTTCAAGGAAGGTCCTTATGCAGGTATCGTCCACCAGGTTTCGCACGTCTTCGTACTAGAAAATATATGGCATCAATGAAACACTTCTCTCTAATGTGTTAAAACCACGCGTGGATTTGCAACACGAATCTATCAAGGAAGTGCAAATATACACTATGTTAGGTAACACTAGTGACCGGATGTAAAACTTTGCAAGACAGTAATACGGAATCTAACGTGACTTTAAAAAGGAGTATATATCATAACTCTACATTGAATAACGCTACCCAAAGGTGCTATGAACTGTGAGCACTGCCATTAACATATCGCTTTTACTGGATTTAACCAAGACATCAAAAAGGTAGGTTATGATGTTGCTCCAAAGACACTAGATATTCCCAATGCTTACATCTGGTAGGTTGTGGAAAGGACCAAATACAGAGTAGGAAAATAGGAAAATGAAATGTATAGAAGTACACACAGAAAACCGTTAAACCCCGTTAAAA